TCAGCAGGGGATTATCTGGGTGCAGGAAAGGCTCTTACAAGGGAGTGACACTTGATGAGAGGGTCAAGAAGTGTGGATGTTTGGTGGATGGTGGGGGGCAGCTCCCTATACAACAGCTCCTTTATCTGTGATTGAGGAGCATTGTGGTCAAGAAGCAGGTGGAGAGCATTGTTTCCTGTAAGCTATGTGCTTGGGTGGCCACCCAGGAAAGATTAAAATACTGCCCAGCTGATTAGCAGAGCGCCCAGAGCTGGCAGCATCCACATGTCTTTATGCATATAACAAAATGTATTATACACATGGATGAAAAAAATTAGAGGGAACATTGGTGTAGAGGTGTGTGAAAGTTCCTGCAGACAGGGGAGGTTTCTGGGTGTAGGTCTGATGCCACCCAGGATGCTTTTTGCAGGGAAAGTGGAAGTCCTATCTTCTTATAGCCCAGCTGGGACTAGCAGTTGAGCCCAGTGCAAGGTAGGAACCACCAGCTGAAGCATACATAGCCCCATCCTCACACAGAGGTTTGATGCTCCACTGCCTTTTCCAGATACCCAAGATTAGCACTTACGCCAAGGATGGGCAATAATTTTTGACCGGGGGGGTGACTCCAAGATTTTGGAAAGTGGTTGAGTGCTGCACTCTTCTATGATATTAATGGAGGAGGTGCAGGATCTGAGATGGAGGTTGGGTACAGAAGGGAGCTTGGGGTAAGGTACTAGGGTACAGGAGGGAGAGTGGGGTCTGGGAGGGCGTTTGGGTGAAGGAGACAGTTGTGATCTAGAGCAGGGGGTTGCGGTGTGGGGTTTTGGTTTATGACCTAGGGTAGGAAAGGACTGTGATCTGGGACAGAGAATTGGGGTGCCAGATCTGGGAGGGTGTATGGGTGCAGGAAGGGGGCAGAGGGTTTTTGGGTATGTTGAATGGAAGGGCGGAGGGTTGGGGAAGGGAGAGGCTGGGGTGCCAGAGGCAGGCCCTGGCCGAGAGTCTTGCCTGCTTGCCTGCAGAGCTAAATGCTTGCAGAGCTTAAAATGTTTCTCTGCCTGCCCTGCGCCTGCACAGGCTGCAGGGCCATGTGCTTGTGTAAATAACCCGGGGTGGGAGGCATGGTGTTTGTGTGCTGCCTGCTGTTCAAACTGGAAGCTCCCATTGGTCAGTTCCTGACCATAAACCGGCAAATGGAATTGTGCTGGGGGCGGGGGCAGCACCTGAAACCTTCTGCCCCCCAGGATCGCAGTTTTGAAAGAGAAACAGCCCTGCAGGGCCCCATAGCAACTGCTTTCCTCAGCAGCAGGTGTGGGGCAGGATCCAGTGATATCCCCAGCCTGGATCCAGTGGCTTGACAGGCCGGATCCTGCCCACGGGCTGTATTTTGCACGGGCCTGACCTACGCTGTTTGAGGGGTGTGTGAGCACTCTTGCAACTTCCATGTCAGAGTGTCATTTTCCTGTGGGGAAGCAAAGCAGTGTTCCTGGGACATGAATTCTGCAAATGTAGAGTGGGGCAGTATTCTCCCCAGAGTATAGTGCATTGAAAAATGAAGCTTAACACATGCACCAGGATACTGCAGATTTTAAGACATGATAAAACACAGAGTATTGAATTATGAGGCGAGAAAGAGAAATAGCAAAATTTTGGCTAGTCAGTGTAAGCACATCAGATTTGTGTGTTTTTTAAGACCTTGGAAGCATGTTGAATTTGTATAAGGGTGTTTTTTGATGGCCCAAAAGAATATCAATATATGCATCGAATATAACAACTCATATGTCTACACTAAAAATGTAAGTTGATGTATATTAAGTTGACTTATAGTTAATAATTATTGTGGTGACCGATGTTCACGCTATCCTTGTTGGATTGGTGATGCATGTCCTCACCAGGAATGCTTCCACTGATTGAAGAGCAGCCGTGTGGGGAGCTGAAAGCCCAGTTTTTTAATTCCACTGGCAGCTCCCCACTAGGAGCCCAGTTACCCCACAGGTGTCTGGGCTTCCAGTGGGTGGACCAGGGCTTCACCCTAACTATTGTGATTTAAGGACTAGTTGACAATTGGATAGTCGAGTTGACTAGTCACTCCCTCCCTTTGCCTCCTCTATCAGATAGAGGCAGCGAAAAGAGGAGGAGGGGGGTACTTCAAAGGAGCTGCGTCACACAGAGATCGGGATCAGCTGTGCAGTGCTACTCCTTTGAAACTCCGCGGCTCTTGTGCATTTCAAAGCGCGTGGAGCCTGGAGTCAGCGGGACTTACCGCTGGCTCGGGCTGCATGCCAAGTTCCAATTTTGAAATGCACAAGAGTCCCCACTTGGTATCTTGTAAATTTTGAAAGAGGAAGTGCCTATCGACTAGTTGATGGAAATTCCATCGACTAGTAAATTAACTGATATTTAACCGTGTTTGTAAGCGCTATGCCTCTTGTGGAGGTGGAGTTACGTTAGTGAAGTAGGGCATTTACCTCAGTGGGACAAAGCTGTAGTGTACTATAGAGACTCTAATTAGGTTGACAGAAGATGCCTCACTGCAACCTAACTATAGTATGGACTAGTTGTTCTCAACCAGGGGTCCAGGCCTCCCTAGCAGGCTGTGAGCAGGTTTCAGGGGGTCCTCCAAACAGCAAACCATAGCAGAAAGCCAAAGCTCCACTGCATGGGAATGTGCAGAAAACCAGTTTTTCTGGCAAAAATAGGCTGTAGAGAATTTATAGCATGTTTGGAGCAGGGAGGACTCAGAAAGATTGAGAACCCCTGGGGTAAACCAAGCCAGAGTCACTCAGGCTTTGTTGGGCTAGTTCCTAAGATACTCATTTGCATTGGGGTTTCACCTTTTCACATGTGAATCTCAGCAGCCAAGAGCTTTCTTCTCCTGACAGCCTTGTCTTATGCTTTTTCAGTCTTTCTGATCAGCTGGCTTCAGAGAAGCAGTCAGTGCTGGAATAACAAATCAGATGCTTTCTTCTAACTGTCAGACAGTTTTTCTTCCCCTAATTAGGGCTAGTTATTCTAAATTAAGAATGATAGTGCTAAGGAAGTTTTAGAGAAAAACGAGTTTCTAGAAAACAGATCTGACAGAAGGGAGAGAGTAATGGTTGCCTGCCTTATACTTCTTTCAGATTGTCAAACATGCTTTAGAAACTTAGATTTTTGCCAGATCTGATAGAAGGGAGAAAGTAATGGTT